TATCATTCTCATATTTATAGTAGAAGTCAAACTTCTAAAAGGAATCTAATCTCTATCTCCAAGATAAAGCTTGTCAATTATCTCATATTTGAATTTTAAACAAAATCTCCTCTATCCCTTATCCCTTGTAGCCGGCCATGCTAGGGATTCCTCTCCCTGTGTGTGGCCCCAATATTAGATAGGGAAGGAAGAGAAAATCATCATTTATCTTGTAGTCCAATTTTATTTCAAATTCAAATTCGAATTTAAGTCAAACTTAAATTAATTTGAATTCTAAATTGAACAACTTATCAAATAAGTTTAAATGGATAAAGCTATATGTGTTCAAATTCAAATTTAAATAATCACATTATTTAAATAATAATTAATTCTCAATTACTTATTTTTGAGTATTTAATTTTAGAATTCTGTAATTCTAAAATTTCCCATTTTTTCCTCTGTGTCTGGTAGAATTACTAGGACGACGCGGGGACTAATGGACCTATAATCCCGAGCTCCAATAAAATTAATAATCAATTAAACACTTTAATTAATTAATTAATTCTATTAATTCCAATAGTTACTCCACTATAAACTTGGAATTGCACTCTCGAAATTATAGACATAAATTACTTCTAAACTGTGAAGTGTCCATTTGATATAGTCATTGCGAGTAAATCAAAAGACACAAATCCATAAATAGGAGTCTGTTAAGAACTCAGGATTAAGATCATCCTATATATGACCATCGGTAGACTCAATTAGAATTTCTATACTTAACGGAATTATTAGAAATTCATATTGTGTCTGTGTCATTGTTCCACATAATCTCATTATGCGAAATACACTCATTCAATATCTCACCATATTAACAGTGCGAATAACATCGTTCCATTCTAAATGGGAATGACATGTATCAATAATGTTTTAATTAAAGATTCCAAACTTTAATTAAATTCATTATGAACATTGCTTTTTGATTATTATCCTTAAACATTGTCCTCTCATATATAACACTTATATACAATGTTTAAGGTTACATAAATAATCATGAAATTTTTATTGATATTCATAAAATATTCATAAATGTATGAACATAAAATAATGAATAAACTCTTTTATTAAATAAATAATAAATATCCTATTACATCTTATGCTTCTAGGACACTATTCCCAACACGGAGTAGATGGAACTGAATCATTGATGACTGCTACCGCAGAGAATTTAAAAATATATATGCAATTAAGTATTACTGACGCTAAGAAATTGTTATAAAAAGTTTTTAATTTGTATGAAGCAAAATATAGCACAGGTCAAAAAGAACAGGGAACTTCATCGTCAACTACCAGTTCGGGGCCTAAAGGATCATCGTGGAGTTTCTTGAAGAAGAAAGAGAAAACGGTAGGATCGTCCTCAACACAAGCGTCTACGGAACTAGTCAACTATTTTGAAGCAAATTTTGTAATCGATGACGACAAACTAGACATCTTATAGTGGTGGAAGAGCAAGATAGATCGTTTTCCAACATTGTCCATAATAGCTCGTGACATTCTGACAACTCCAGTGTCAACGGTAGCATCGGAGCAAGCTTTTAGCGCAAGCAACCAAATTCTTGACGAGAAGAGAAGCAGAATGCATCCATATATCTTGGAGGGACTAATGTGCGTTAAAGTCTAGGAAGATGCCAGAAGACGAAAACAACAATACACAGATGATTCGATGCAAGAATATTTTTCTAACTTAGAAATAACAGAATCTTCTGGAAGCACTTAGGTTTGTAATTTACTATTCCTAGCTACTGCACTCTTTTTTCCTTCGCTAAGGTTTTGTCCCAATCTCCCCACGGGTTTTACTTAGCAAGGTTTTTAACGAGGCAGTGATTTATGTGTACTCCTGTTACGTCAATTCAATAAAGTCACATCTTTTGGGGCATTAGATATTTTTTTAATTAAAGTTAAAAAAAGGGCCGGGGCTGGCCCGTGAAGGGCCTGGGCCCAGGCCCGGCCCTGACCCTTATGGACTAGGGCCAAGGGCCTGGACCGGGCCTGAGTTTTTCTTCTCAGGCACGGCCCAGGCCCGTGATGGGCCTGGGGTCAAGTGTGCCGTGCCGGCCCGGCACGGCACGTTTGACAACACTAGGAAAGCTCCCACTTTTTTAACCTCCTTTTTATTTTCTCCGCAAAAATCTCCTTTTTATTTTGAATAAATTGCACAAATGGTCCTCAAACTCGTTAAAAGGTGACAGTTTGGTCTTTAAACTTTTTTTTTGATGAAACAAACCTCAAACTATTTGAAAAGATGTAATATAGTCATTTCCGTCAGATGCCGTCTTAAAAGTAACGACACAGTACACGTGAGATATCACGTGACCCATGTTTTTAAGGTATATGTGTAAAATCACATGTTGGGAGATTTGGGGTATATTTTATCACTCTCTCTCTCTCTCTCTCTCTCTCTCTCTTTTTAGCTTAGTTTGTTATTGCTTTTCCCTCCCAAAATCTGCTTCTGCTTGTAGGAGAAATTGATTTTAATATTTGGTAAATCTGCTCAAAAGTGTTTTTTGAAGAATTTTTCAAGAATCTACAGCTCAAATCAGAAGCAGCCTAAAGACAACTTTAGTTTTTAGATTGTGCGGGAATCAGTATAATACAATTAATGAAAATTTCATAATACCTATAATACTCCTAATGAAATTTATAATTTACAATCTTCCCAATCTAAAATTCAAACTCGTAATATAATATAATATAATATAATATAATATAATAGTAATATTGTAACAAATAATATCATAATTATATTAATAACTCTAATATCATAATTATATTAATAACTCTAATATTAT